TGGCTGTCTTGCCGGATCACAGGTCGATTTCTGAGAGAGAGGGTCAGCAGAGGGAAGAAACAGGAGGAAACAGGAGACAAGGTTTTAACAAGGAACAAGTCTGCAGACGATACAAGGGAACCTTACCTGAGGTTGGCATTGTCGTCGGTCCTAAGACGCGAGGGAGGTCCGCGGCGAGAGTCTACAGAGACGGTGTGCCGCAGGCCGCGGCCGTCCTCGGGAGAGGGCGAGGCGCCGCGGAGGGAGGGGGACGCGGTTGGGGTTGGGGTAGAAGGGAGCGGCTTGACGGTTACGGAGGACCGGCCACTGTCAGTCGAGGCGCTCGTCACCGAGCTCATGCGCGAGGCCGCTTCATTCCTGGTCATTGTCACCACCAGGCAGGGGTTGTTGTGGGATCAGCCATGTCCCGGCGGCGACGTCTAGGGGAAGGAAGCAAGGACAACGAGGCGTAGAGGAACGGCACGAGAGGCGCAAAAGTCAATTCAATCGATCGAGAGAGCGAGAGAGCAAGAGAGGTCGAAAGAAGGGGTCGAATAGCGCCGGTTGTCGATTCGTTGCGCTTCTGACGTCGAGCTCCTGCTTCACCATAAGGAATCAATCGAGCAGTAGCTGTCGAAGAGTAGATCAACTGGGGAAATCGAGAACCGATACACGCTGAATTAGGCCATTGTTTCGAGATGTCGTCGGGAACTGCAAGCTGGTGATGTAACAGACGAAGCGTCGAAGCTTGTCGATATCCGGGACAGGGAAGAGAGGGGAGTGCCGATTGAAGTCGACAGGCTGTAAGTGGATGCAGCACACCCAGAATGCTAGAATCAATATGCGAAATTGCGGCGTGAGGTGTCGTGTCGGTGTGCAACGTAGCAGGGGACGAGAGCGAGGAACGGTGAGTGGAGTTTCGAAGAGAAGAGAGAGGAGTCGAGATGCGGCGAAGAGGGCGGAGAGGTGAGGAGACTGAGAAGGAGCTGAGTGTTGAGAGACAGCTGGTGGAGACAGTGAGAAGCCAGTGAAATGCGGGCTAAGAAAACTAAAAGAGGAGCGGTGCGGGAAGGAGCGCCCTACGAATTGAGCTCTGGCACAGAAAGTGGAAATGACGATTAGGGTAGGCACGAGTGCAAGACGAGCAAGAACGAGTCACAAACAGGAGGCAGAAGGAAGGAGCAGTGGCAAGAGCGCTGCACCATGGTCGGTGACGACGAGTTGGGGGCAAAATGTGGCAGGCTGCGAACAGAAGACAAAGCAGTGACAAAGAGCGGCAGCACAGGAGCGGGATGATGATGCACAAGCAACGCAGCGGCTTTGGAGGGCGGCAGGGTGGACAGACACAGATGCACAGAGGGCGACTTCTCCAATAGTGGCAGATGGCAGAGAGTGGGCAGCGGAGGCAGGTGTGTGTGGAGGGCCGTTTTAGTGCAGGGAAGGTGCGAACTGGGGCAACTCCAGACTTAGTCGGTGCGAGGCGGCTGCGGTGTTAAGTGCTGACGGAAGGAGCAGGGGGTGGGCCAGCAGTTTTCATGTGCTGTATATTTAGTGCGCTGGAGCCAACGCGCGGCCTAAGTGGCCCACAGAAGGGATACAGCAAACTTCGAAGACGAGATCACAGCGAGAGGGAAGGAGCGACTACAGTGTATCCGGTCGGGGTCCTGCCCTTTAGGGCAAGCAGGGCTGTGGACATTGATCATCACAGACAAGGCAAATATATCAGGATGGAAAAGCATTGAGAAGCAACCTTTGGCCCCCGTTCTCTTCCAGTGACGGCTCCTGTCTGTTGCCAGTTTGGCTCGATGCCCGGGACAGAGCAGACCAACTAGGACCAACATGCGTGCCGCGCGACTTGCTCGGTACCGTTTTCGTGTTTCTCCGCTCAAGTATGGTTATCCTCCGCGGTGTAAATATTTCCAGCAGCTCTTTCACAAATATACGACGTAATAATTACTACAATGTAAGTATTCAGCGTCGTACCGCGCGCCGTACGTCTACTGTACGTCTACTTCGTATTGGTATTAATTTGACCGTTTTATAGAAGAACGATCCTTTGGCATGATTGGTTGTCGGTCGCCCTTTCGTTTTCGGTTGTTTTGTGTCGGTTTTCGTCGGTGGCCCCTGCCCTACTTGGGGCCCTTGCCCGGCGGCTTCCCCCCACAACGTCGCTGCCGTTATGGGGCAGGTGCCAATGGGGATGCCAGCTGCGTGGTCACTAGCACAGTTTTCGGGACGCTCACAATAACAGACGATAGGGGGAGATTCTTTGACGACAATTGGCGACGAGAGCGCGAGTGGCGACGTGCTGGCGATGTGTTGGTGATTCCCGTCTCTCGATGCCGAGGCTGGCTGTGAGGCGATTGCGATACGCGAAGCCAGGACGCCCATCCAAAACGCACAAAACGCCCACAAAACACTCACCAGATATCCAAGAGTCGAATAAAGCCAAGCAAACCCCAGCCGGCATGCAATAAAACCAGGGCGGCGCGCGGGCTCTTGCGGGTCAGTGGCATGTCCGTCTCGGTTGACAGCTCTGTTGGCTGCCTTGTGCGCTGTTGAACTACTGTAAGGCCCGCAAGGTCCCGCCTGTGGTCCAAGACATGTCCTCTCCAAGACCCAGTAATTAATACGGAGTACGCAGAAGCCCGCCTAGAACGAGACTCACCATGAATCGGGCGACGGACGGCAGCGGAAGGGACTGAATGGGCATGGTTTTTGGTGTCAAATTTATGGTTTGAAAACCGGCAGTGACAAGCGGCAAGGGGAGCTGGTGCAGAATGCTTGCTGCCAAGCAGAGGAACGCTGGGGCCAGGAAAAGGCTCGAGTAGTCTGGCGAGCCGGTCTCGAACAGGTGTCTGGATGGGCAGGGGATAGGAGGATAAGCCCAGCTTACAGAAGAGCTGATTCGACGACTCCGAACGACGTGCCACTATTAGGGAGATCGAAAAGAAATGCTAAGAAAAGGGGAAGAAAGAAAGTAGCGACCATCTGTGGAGTATATTTCCACTCTGTGGTCATGCAACGCCGTGTCAAACCAATCTAAGAATGTGAAAGGGCAAGAGAACTCGGGAAAGGGGCAGAGGTACGGACGATATGCCAAGCATATATGGGCACACCATTTGTCAAAAAAGAAAGTAAAGTAACTGATATATGTAAGACCGTGTGAGAGACATGTCAGATTAAAAGAAAGTAAAGGGAAAGACAAGGCAGGTTGGATGGACCTGAAACCAAAATAATGACACCGGATAGCTGCAAACGAAATGAAGAAAAGCATAAAACGAGAAGTTCCGAGTCCATCAGCGGACATTATACAGAGTACAACATGCATTGCCAAGAGTTGTAGAAATCGACAAATACACGTACAAGTCAATACAAATACGGAGCAAAACAGATGAACATGTCAGCGGCGGCCATTCTTCGCAAGAGCAGATCTGCATCTGCTAGACAATGGAGAAATGGCAGCAGAAATGCAACGTGTAGGAAAAAAAAAAAAAAAAAAAAAAAAAAAAAAAACAAAAAACACAGCCAGTCATTGCGAAACCAGAAACCTACGGAGACAAGCGCTGCTTGAGGGCGAATTGGAGCAGTAAAACAGTAGTACAGGGAACAGCACAGCAATGCAACCGCCAGGCCCAGGCCACGATCTGTGCGGCGAACAGGGCGAGACACGTCTGGATTCTGGGGCGTTGGAATGTCACGGTAAGGAGCCTGTTGAGTTTTCGGATTAACACTGCACTCGCATCCCGTGAATTACAGCAGACTCGTTTATGTATATAGCCTTACTGGTTAGCAGACGACAATAGCAAAAGTGTGCTGTGTGCCGTCGTCTGGTATCGGGCCGTCTGAACAGGTGTATAAGGTACGACGTATAATATTGCATATAGCAGACCAAGGACGAACGACGAACGGGCAATCAATCTGCAGAGGTGGTGAGGTACTATGGTAGTCTAGCACTTTAGTAAGAGCAAGCTCAGCAACACGGAACCGGAACGGGGACACGGACCATCGGTTAAGTTGAAGTGGGAAGTGCAGGGGGGTGGGCACAGAGAGATGGAAATACCAAGACAGGACAAGTGATTTTCGAAGCGACCAGAGGGAATGCGAAAGACAAGAGTCTGGAAACAGTGGTCAGGGAAGAACGAGAAAGAAATGGGCCGCGGTGAAGAGCAGAAGAAGCAAAAATGGTGGAAGCCCTCCCAGCTCAAGATTTGTCATGGCTCCATGCACGTTGTCGTCGCTCGTTCGACGGCGCATCCATCACATCAGTCGCATCAGTCGCATCAGGGGTGTCGATGTGTGGTGCGTGTAAGACGCGAGGCGATCATATCGCAAGGGTACGTTGTAAAGGCAGCAGCACGGTAAAACCAGAGACGACGGCCAGGAACTCGAGGAGATCTCTCTTGGCATTTATGACACTGGTTCCTGTCTCTCTTTTTTTCTTTTTTTCTTTTTTTTCTTCTTTTTTTTTTTTTTTTTGGCACCACCACCTCCTCCCTCGTCCCAAGTCAACAACAAGCTCGTTCGTCTAGAAATGATATCCATGTCTCCAAGTGAGAAGAATTTATCATTCATTATTTATACGTAGTTACTAACATCTCGACATCTTGACACAACTCTGAACGCTCTTTAGCCGTCGCCCCTGTCGGCGCCCAGGATTGAGCAACAATGATCCGTGATATGCTACAGCTTCTGTCTGGACGGTTCGGACCTGTTGTCGGTGGTCAATCGGAAGGCGTGGAGGTGTACGTTGCGTTGTAGAAGGAGAAGTAAGCCGATTACATCAATTACATACCATCAGAATAGGCGTATTTTAAGTTGCTATTTATACAGAATTTGTGAAATAGAATTTGGACATGGAAGCGACGATATATAATATCTCAAATCACAGAAAAACAGTAAACCTCTCAAAAAGTAAGAGCACAATTCATAATCCCATCTACAACGAATTCACAGCAAGTCGTACAATCAGGGGATATTGAATTCTTCATCGGACGGTCAGACGTCAATCTCCCGGATGACTATGTAGATATGTAATCGTACCCGGTAGCCTCCGTCTCAATGCCATAGACGTTGCTGGCCCTCTCCCCGTCGTCGTTTTCGTCTTCGTCGTCGTCATCGTCATCGTCATCGTCGACGACGTCCCGCTCCTCGTCCATTACGTCCTCGCCAATGGCCGCACTCTCCTCCAGCACCCGCCGGGCCTCGTCCGCACTCGACGCGCCCGCGCCGCCCTGCTGCATGTCCTCCCGGATCAGCTGCACGGCCAGCTCCGGCACCAGCACCGCCTGCACGTACTGCGCCATGCCGCGCGCCGCCACCAGCGGGTCCTCGACGACGCGTCGGCGCAGCGTCGGCGCGTGGCGCTGCACGATGGCGTCGGACAGCACGCGCAGGCCGCGGCGGCCATAGTAGCCCGGCACGACGGCGGTGCGCAGCGACACGTTGTCGGTGGTCTCCCACGACGCGCGGTACGGCGAGGCCGCCTTGCCGAGCAGCACGCGGTGGATGTGCTTCTCGTGGCGCACGAGACGCGTCGGCAGCGCGTCCCAGTCAATGGTCGGGTACCCGCGGGCGGTCCAGGCGAGACGGCTCGCGCGCTGCTTGTGCCCCGTGCAGAAGCGCAGCTTCTCGTCAAATTTCAGCAGGTTCAGCGGGATGGCGCTGCGGGTCGCGGCGATGCGGGCAAAGGAGACGCCGGCCAACAAGGCGTGGTCGGGCAGCAGGGCGCGCAGCATGTCCTCGTCGAGCGGCGCCTTGCACAGCGGGCAGACGGCGGGGCCCTTATACGCCATGGTGTCGTCGCTGTCGGCAATGGACACCGCATCGTTGTCGGCGTCTTCGTCGCCGGCGAGCACGTCCGAGAGCGGACGGTCGCTATCGCCCGCGCCGTCGTCCTCTCCAACGGGGAAGCTCTCGCTGAACGCGGGCATCTTGAAGACGGCTCGTGCCTGTGGCTGTGGTTGTGAAGACGACGATGGAGAGGCACCGCGCGCATCGTTGTCGCTCCCGCCTTCCACGTCGAGTTGCCCAAAGAGTTGGGACGCCTTGTCCTTCTTGGCCTGCTTCTTGTTGTTCATGCTCAGTCGCCATTTCTGCCGGGAACGCATGAGCTCAGCCTTGGACATGGGCTTGTCTGGGTCTGGGTCTGGGTCTGGATCTGGGTCTGTTGTTGCTCTTGATTTCGGTTTCGTTGTCGTTTTCGTAGATGCAGACGCAAATGCTTTGCTTTTTTGCGACTTGCTCTGGTCCACATCCTCGTCCTGCTCGTCCTCGCCGTCATTTGCTGGTAGCTTGAATGTAGGCTTAGCCATCGGTGCGGATACTGTGACTTTCTTGTTCCCTTTGGCCTCTTTTTCATCCTCGCTGTCGTCATCTGACCGCGCCCAGGTGCTGTGCTTGAACTTGGGCGGTGTCTTGGGCTTCTCGGGAGACAGCTCCGGCGGCTTGATAAACCGGGCCTTCGGCGCGCGAGCCTTTTCCGTTGTCTCGTCTGGCTCGCTGATGTCGCTTACGCTGTCCTCATGCTGCTTAACTGCCACTTTTGCGTTTGCTGATGTGCTGGATACACGGCGTGCTGTCGCCAGCCCGGGCCGTTTGCGGCCGCCGTACGTAGCCTTTGGTGCTGGCCTTGCACGTGCAACGCCATTATCATGGCTGCTGTCACCACCCTTCCCGTTGGCTGTTGTCGGCACCGCCTCCTCGTCTGGCCGTGGCCGCTTGGTCCCACGCTGCCCGCCGTCGCTGCCGCTGCCATTGTTGCTGCCACTGCTACCGCCAACGTTGCTCTTACGCATCTCGCCAGCCACCAGCAGATGGCTCCGTCGTCGCGAGCCGGCATCTCGTGAGCTATCTGCCCTCGTGGCTGCCCCTCGTGGCCGCTTGAACGCTGTCCGCCGTATGCTGCCGCGGGAGCGGTCGTTCTCGGGCGACGACGAGTCTGAAATGTCGTCGGACAGCCCCACGTTGCCGTCTGTCTCCTGGCCCTCGTCCTTGTCCTCGTCCACATCCTCGTCATCGCTGCTGCTAAGAGGCGGTGCATCAACGGATGGCGCCACACGCACTGGCCGTTTTGGTGCTGCTGCTGCTGCTGCGGCTTCCATAGCCTTCCTGGCCCGCAAGGCGGCTGTAAGACCCCGGGATGGAGGAGCAATGACACCACGCCTTGGTGGCTGCCACCGAGGCGCCATGGTCTTTCCCCCCCGGCCGGTATCAGATGATGTCCGACAACAAGTGGTTCGACAACAGCCGATCCCAAGAAAATGGGGTGCGTTCAAGCTGGGAATCGCTAGTGACGAAGGTGCTTTCTGAACCCAGGGGGTCCTTTAGGTGGGAGTTGGATCTGAAATCAATTCAGAATGCATCTCAAACGCAATCTAGCCGTGGACTAAACACAAAGAAGAACGACGTCAGAGCACGACGTACTGCAATAGCTAGCTGTGCAAATAAGGCGCGATGCTGCGAGACGCGTTTTCTGGCATATGCCGTTTTGGCACTAAAAGTCACGGCAGTGGCCCCACTATGGGCCACCCAAGCCCCTAAAGTGCAGAGCTCTTGCGCTGTGTAACGCTAAAGCATGCACGAATGTGAATGTGAACGTCGATACAAAAGCAAAGTATGAACCTGATATACTGATGAGGCGCGTGCAGTCTCGGCAAAGCTGCGTCGAACTTTGTCCAAACCCGCCCTTGTTCACTATAGAATGTAGATGACGGAAAGTGGAAAAAAGCCAGTAAAATTAAAGCACAAAACATAAGCACAGATGGAGGGTATTATATGCAGGTGCTTGACAAAAGATATCTGCCTCTTCGCAACGTCTTTCACGCCAGCTTGTCGAGCCGTGCCTCCAGCCCCTTGACCCAGCCCTCCATCACCTGCGCGTTCTTGCCCATCGTCGTCTCGCCGTCCCGCAGTGCCGCCTCCATCGTGTCGAGGCCCTGCCGCCACTGCCTGACTTCGGCCGCCGTGTCCGCCTGCTGCTGCGCCAGCGCGTCCAGCAGCTCGCTGGCGCCCGCTGCATCGGCGTGGATCGCCCGCAGCGACCGCAGCCGGTCCAGCAGCTGCGGCAGCAGCGGCGCGAGCTGCTCAATCGTGGGCAGCGTGCCGTACAGGGCGTTGATTTTGGCGCCGTCGCCGTCGTCCCTGGACGCATCCTTGGCGGCGTGGCCTGGACCGTCCGTCGCTTTGCCGCCCGTCACGTCGGCCAGCGCCTCTTGGGCGGCTTTGGCAGCCTGGCGTGCCTTGGCCAGCTGGTCGGCCTCCTGGGCGAGGGTGCGGACACGACGCGCGATGCCGTCGAGCGAGGCCGTCGAAGCGTCGGCCAGGGTGCCGATCTGGCGCTGGAGGGCGTCGAGGGTGGGTAGGATGGCGCGGGGCAGGCCGGCACCGTCGCCGCCCTCGATGCCAATGGACCGCTCGAGGAGCACGAGGCGGCGGTCAAAATCGGCGGTCTGGGCGAGCGCATGTGCGCCGGCCGCTGAGGGCGCAGGCGCGGATGTAGATGGAGATGGAGAAGAAGCAGATTCGGCGGGCGCTGCTGTCGGAGGCACCGTCGCCAGAGAACGTGTTGTCGTGGCGGCCTGCTCGTCGGCGAGGCGTGCAATGTCGTCGAGCACCTGGCTCAGCGAGTCGAGGTCGCGTCCCGCCGCGGTTCCCGGTGCCGCGCCTTTGGCGTTTGCCTTGGCTGCTGCCGCCTCGGCTTTTTGCCGGCTGTAGGCCAGCTTGGCCTCTTCCACCTCCCGTTTTAAGCGTGCAATCTTACGCTCCAGGCCGTCGGGCGAGTCGCTGTCTTCGTCGTCGTCGTCGTCATCACCGTTTTCGTTTCCTTCGCCGTCCTCATCGCTCACGTCGCCCAAGACAGCCTGTTGCTGACGCCTCCGCCGCCGTGCCGATGTTGCTGTTCTGTACGATTTCCGCTTGCCGTCAACACGGTCCGAAAAGTCAACGCCGCGCGCGTCGACCGTTGATCCGACAAAGCGCGAGCGGGCTTGGTCAACTTGGACACGGGATCGCGAGATGCCCGTGTCGACGTCGTCGTCGTCGTCGTTGTCGTCCGACTCATCAGAAGGCGACCGACCCGTTGTCGTCAGGACCGTGGAGTTGTCGTCTGTGAGCTCGGGCGTTTCGTAAATATCTGGTGCCGTGTCCTAGAGTTGTTAGAGGAGCTGCGATCAACAAGAGCGAGCTTCCACAGGCTAAGGCCTCCTGGCACGGTACTCACTAAATCGGGCAGTGCCGAGTATTTCCGGTTGAGAGCCATGATCTTGTCGGCAGTGGTGGTGCGATCCCATATAGGTGTGCGGTGGCAGTTTGATAAGTGACGCTCTGAACTGGATAGGGGAAGCTCCTCGCGATGTTGGTGCCACTGCGACTTAGCGCACTGATTGGCTCCAGGGACGTGTTTCGGCGTGCTAGACGCGGCTGCCAAATTGGGCCCTTGGGGCCTTGGTTTTACTGGACACCTGCTGTGGAGTAGCCTCGCTGCCTCGCTGTCTCTAGCTTGAAAAATAAAAATGGGGACTGTGAGGACAGGAACGCTCAACGCTCAAAATATGTGGGGCGAGCAGCTTTGGGTGTCGTTCTGAATTTGACCAATCACACACGATTACCTCACAAGCGGCGGGGCTCTTGCCCACAAACATTATTTCCCTAATTTTTCGCCCTATTTCAACGCTTACATAAGGCAAATGGGCGGGCAGGTCGTGCGAAAAAATGTGTGCGCTGCGGAAAAAACTGCACAGCGTCAACTTTTTTCCACGCTCCTTCCGCCCACGCTTTCCCCTTCCCCTTCCATCACGATTTCGACCGCCTACGATCTTTTTCCCACCACAACCACGCACGATCAACCGCTCCCTCGCCCACTCGTCTTCGGATAACCACACATACCGACACATTTCAAAATGGATTCTTCGAAGCAGCCCGTCAAGTTGGTCAAGGTCACCCGCGTCCTCGGCCGCACCGGTTCGCGTGGTGGTGTCACCCAGGTCCGCGTCGAGTTCATGGACGACCAGACCCGCAGCATCATCCGCAACGTCAAGGGCCCTGGTATGTTCAGCGCAACGGGAGGAAGCATTGCCGCCGGAGTCGGATTTCGTAGTGTCGGGAACGCTTGGCTAACATAACTGCAGTCCGCGAGGACGACATCCTGTGCCTGCTCGAGTCTGAGCGTGAGGCTCGCCGCCTGAGATAGGCGCTGCGCACCCGCGAACAATGGACGGCCGACCGACGAGCGACGAGCGACAAACGACAAACTTTAAAATCTAAATAAATCAAATCAAGAAAAACCAGATATCCGAACCGGCATGAACGAATGAGGACGCGGTAGTGGGACGAAGGAGGCGGCGGCCAACAGCAGCCGCCAACTTGCTCGAGGCCTCACCTCGTCGATCAAGCGGCAACGGAGGGCGTGCATGGGATTGAAAAAGGAGTACATCATTCTTTTTTTATAGGGAAAAAAACGAAAGCCAACCAGAGTGCGACTGCTGGCGGAACGAATCGATCTTTTCGGGCAGTGGCCACCAAGCTCTGGGTGGTGAAGGATGCATGCATGGTATGACGGACACTCTTCCGCCTTACCTTGCGTCTGTTCCTTTTGCACATTTATTTGTTCTTTAGTTTTTTTTTTTCTTTTGGTTGTTTCTCTGGTGGAAAACGGACGGGAGAGAACCGGGGTTTTCTCCATGTGTTTTTTTAGAACAAGACGAGAGGGCTTATACATCCAAAACCACCATTGACCAAAGCTCTTGAGTCGCAGCCGTGACGTAGCATTGTTGGTGATCGACTGAATCTCGAAGCAGATGATCTGAACCGTTGCGCGAGAGAAGCAGTTTGATGCCAAATTCCAATCACGTGATATTTTGTTGCGAAGAACATTTTCTGCGTCCCCACTCCAAATTCCTCTGGCCATAAATTCTCTGCCTTTCTTCTTTTTCTTCTGCCCTTTCCTGCCCTTCTCCCGCTCTTCTTGCAACAACAACACTTTCAAAGGGTAAGCGTGCACAAGTTCTGTTTTCTGTTTCCATTTCTGCTCACGGTTGAATGATGCATAACTATATAAAGCACTATATTCTTGATTTTCTATGATTGTTCTCATTATCACCAAGATCTCTGACGACCAAAACCTTCATCACTGTTACTTTTCCATGTTCGTTCTTCCGCGTTCACTTTGCTAACAGTTGCAGTCGTTGTTGTTCGTCTTCTTCCTTGAGCTTGGCACTCGGAAGTCGAACCAGTCGCTCCAGCGCACCCCGTCGGGATTCTCTAATGGCCACGCCGCCGCGGCCGCCCAAGGGCCACTTCAACATGCTCTACTTTGCAGCCGCCACGTCATACACCCACAAGGATTACGAGGCGCTGCCGGCACCGCTGCCGCTGGCGGAGCTGTTTGCAACTCTTGAGACGCGGTACAGTGGGATCCGGGCAGGCGTGCTGGACGGGAGCCTGGTGACGATCAACCTCGAGTATGTGGACGTGGACACGGACGCCGAGGGCGGTGGCATCGTGATCCAAGAGGGTGACGAGGTCGCCGTCATTCCTCCTGTGAGCTCGGGCTGAGGCGGGATCGAGGGGGGGGGTGCTATTGTATATGCAGCAAGGCCGGGATGTGGGATGGCACACATCGCCTAGTCGCTTCATCGTACGTCGGACAGCAGGGGCGTCTGGTCGTTGTCGACCAGGCGCTCTGGTGGTCCTGGTCCTCCTGATGGCGACCGGCTGTCGGGTCGCCGCACGACCGCTGTCACCAGCCACGGCCGGACAGACGACCACTGGGCTCGACGCAGTCGCCGGACGGCAACGACTAGCAGCCAGAGCAGCAGCGCGACGAGCAACGTGCTGGACCCGGCCACCAGTGCCGTCAGGCTCGTAATCGTCGATACCTGGCAGCCCAGGGGCCGTGTGCGCAGCTCCCAGCGCTCGGCCCAGTGCGGGCAGACGAAGTCGCCCTCCCAAGCCGGTGCCAGCGCCGGGATGCGGCAGTCGTTGGGCACGCAAGTGGCGCTCTAGAAGGAGAGGGTAGTTGTGTGAGATGCGAAAGTAAATACATGATAGTGACGAGACTATGAGACACGAATACAACACAGTAACGTACAAAAGGACACCAGCTGCAGGCTGAGATGTCGAGACAGGAACTGCAGCTATTGCGGCCCCAGCAGCGGCGAAAACGGTCATCGTCGTCGGTAGCTGCTTTGGTGCCGTTCTGAGTGAAGCTGTGTCGGCGTGAGGCGAGCCATGCTAATCGAACGGTGTCTTGCCAGTTCTCGTCTTCTGGTCCTTCGTGTGGGCCCGCGGACGCCATTTTCACTCCCATATGGTCTGACTGCCTCTTCACTGTATCTGGTGTGGTCTAATGGACTTTGTTGCCGACCACTTGTGGGTGCATTCTCAGTCGTTGTAGACGCTGTAGAAGAGGAGCTGATGATGAGTGCTCGTGCGAGCAAAGATGCGGCAGGTGCAAAGGCTCGCTCCTTCCAGCCTCCGCCACTTTTTGTGGAGAACCTTGCTGCGCTTCAATCGCTATGATCTCGTTACATCCTCTTGTATTTCATCTCTTGTGTCTCTTTGGTACTGGTAAGCAGAGTTCACAAAATCGAAATAAATAAAAAGGCAGGGCATGATTGAATATTGTATTATGGACTCCTTCGTTTACTTCGCTCTCTGTATCTCAACTGAGGCCCACCAACGGCAGCAGATGATTATGAGTCGTCCTTTGCTCCTTCCGCCGTTTCAGGAGCTGTGCCTCAGTCATATTAGTATGGAAAGTGCCACCCGGAGCGTTGCTGAAAATTTTGGGGCGCTCTTGCCACTCGGCCTGAAATTCTGAAAGTGTTGCAAATAGGCAGGCAGGCCATCTGCACCTGCCGCAGCGTACAGTAGCGCAGGTGTATTCCCCACCGTGTGACTCCTTTCCAGGACAAAAGCTTACAAGGCGGAAAAGTTGGCGAACGACACAACAACAAAAAAGAATGACAAAGAAGGAAGCTCCAGGAGACCACCTAAGTCGCTCCAGAGTCTGTCGTTACTCTGTTTCCCTGTATTATCACTGTTCTCTTTCCTCTCATATTTATTTTCTTCCTTTTGCAACGTCAAAACAGCCGTCAGACAGTCAGGATACATATTACGCTTTTGAATCTGCTTCGATCGAGCGCTTCTCGCATCGTTTCTCGCCATATATCGATATATGTCACGATATATCACGATATATATCTTCACTCGCTTCTACAGAACTCGTTTGAGCATGCAGCGACTCTCGTCTACCACGTACACCATTATCCAACAGCTTAAACAGCCAGACCGACCAGACGTCGCCAATTCAGCCGTCGCAAGCGCAGCCTTCAGAAGACGCTGCGTACAGCCATCACATCGAGCATGTCTGCTCCCACATCAGGCTTGAATCCGACGGCGAGTTCGTGGGCACCCGAGGCATCCAACCCAGGTGCTTCAAACGCAAGCCCAGTAGCGCAAAGTGCAACACAGGGTGTCAGCCACCAATTGCCGTCGCAGCCTCCGCAGGTCTCACAGCAAGACGGCGTAGAGTCACGTCAAAGTGCCGCCCGTGGACGGAGACAGCGTCCTCCAAATGACGCTGGACGGGGTTTAGAAAACGGCAGAGGACGGGGACGTGGCAGTCGGCCGCCCATCCAACAGAACCGGCCCGTAGTCCAGCAGGCTCCTTCTGCTCTGACTCAACTGCCGATCCAACAGCAGGCCCAGCAGGAGGCTCAGCAAGAGTCCCAACTGCCCGCGCGGGGACGGGGAGGTCGCAGTGGACGGGGAGGAGCCGCCCGTGGTGGGCGTGGTGGACGGGGCAGAGGCTCGTTGATAGCACCGCCGCGCATGTTTGGCGACCAGCTATCTGGACCACAGGCTCCAGCAAACGGACACGAGACGCCACGGGCACAACCACACCTGTCGCGCCGCGCTCTGGCACGTGCTGCACGTGCAGCCGATCAGGTAGCACGTCCACCCGACTTGGAAACAGAGGGCTCCGCCGCCGGCTCGGTCTCGAGCTACGGAGCACCCAGGGTGCCGCCGTCGACCGCGCCTGACCTGCCCACACGCATGCACGAGGACATTGACTCGGGCAACTACGACTGCCCAATCTGCCTCAACGCCGTGACGCGCGGCTCCAAGATCTGGGCATGCTCCATGTGCTACCACGTGGCGCACTACACGTGCGTCTCAGCGTGGGTAAAGCAGGCGCTGAACCAGGGCCTTGCCCTCGAGAAGATCCGCTGCCCGGCATGCAATACCGAGGCAGCGGCGGCCGCCGTTGACATTACAGTCCCACGCGGAAATGAAAACGGCAGCGGGACCGGCGGTTTCTTTGGCCGCAAGCTGTGCTGGTGCGGCAAGCAGAAGACGGCCGGCGTGGCCCCTGCCGCTCTGGCCCCGCACTCGTGCGGCCGAATCTGTGGCCGCGCGCGTGCCGACTGCCACCACACGTGCCCGAGCCCCTGCCATGCCGGGCCCTGCCCTCCCTGCCCTGAGATGGGTCCGCTCGTGACGTGCTTCTGCGGCAAGGAAACATCAACCAAGCCGTGTGCCGCAGGTGTCCAGCGGTCATGGACCTGCGGCGCGATCTGCGACAACACCCTCGCCTGCCGCACGCACAAGTGTCAGAGGACCTGTCATCCGGACGACTGCGGTGCTTGCACGGTGCCCCTGTCGTCCACCTGTTTCTGTGGCAAGACACGACAGGACATCCCCTGCAAGGCCCGCGAGCCCGCACAGTCGTCGGCCAACTACGGCCAGCTGGTGTACGGCGGCGCGAGCATATCTTCGTTTGAGGGCACCTTCTGCTGCGACACTGTCTGCGGCCGCGCGTTTGACTGTGGCAAGCACTTTTGCAAGAAGCCGTGCCATGCCCAGGACGCGACTCCGACACACTGCCCGGCCTCACCCGATGTCATCACGCACTGCCTCTGCGGAAAGACGCTGCTTGGCTCGGCTGGTGGGGACAATGCCAGTCCGGCCCGCACGTCGTGTGAAGACCCGATTCCGGCCTGCGACAAGGTCTGTGGCAAGGCCCTGGACTGTGGCCACAGCTGTCCTGAGACCTGCCATGCGGGCGCCTGTCCCCCTTGTGCAACGGTTGTCAATGCGTCCTGCGCATGTGGCCAGATGTCGTCGCCCGTCGTCTGCAGCGACCGCGCCGCGCGCGACGACGTGCAGTGCGAGACCGTCTGCCGCTCCTGGCTCAGCTGCCGGCAGCACCGCTGCAACATTGTCTGCTGTCCGGGTAAGCCCAAGGCCGCGGCACGCATGAAGCAGCCCAAGGGACGCAATGCTGCTCGGGGCTCCGCGGCACGAGACGAAATCGAGGCTGAGCATACCTGTCTGCGCCCGTGCGGCCGACTGCTCAAGTGTGGCCAGCACACCTGCCCACAGGTCTGCCACAAGGGCGCTTGCCACTCGTGTGTCGCATATGTTTTAGAGGATATGAGCTGTCCCTGCGGCCAGACGGTCGTGTCGGCACCCTACTTATGTGGCACTGTGCTGCCAGCCTGCGACGCGGACTGCCCGCGACCACTGCCTTGTGGCCATCCCTCGATTCCTCACCGCTGCCACGACAGCCAGCAGCAGCCTTGTCCGCGCTGCCAGCGTCTCGTTTCCAAGTCGTGCCTCTGCGGCAAGCTGGTCCTCAACCGCGTGGCCTGTGGCGCCGATAACATCCAATGTAGCAACATATGTGGCAAAACACTCAAGTGTGGCGTGCATGCCTGTCGGCTGCCGTGCCATGCCAAAGGCAAATGCGAAGACACGACCGAGGTGGACGGAGACAGCGCTGTCTGCAGCCAAGTTTGTGGCCGGCCCAAGGCGACCTGTGGCCATCCGTGCGCCAACCCATGCCACGGCGCAGACGACGTCTGCAGCGAAGTCGAACCCTGCGGCGCCGCCGTCGAGGTCACCTGCCCCTGCCAGCGCCAGACGCGCAAAGTGCGCTGCAACGTGTGCGCTGCAGACCCGACACCGACCTACCGCCGCCCCGAGTGTGACGACGAATGTCTGCGTATCCAACGGAATGCCCAGCTCAAGGACGCCTTGCGCATATCCGACGACTACAAGGACGAGCACCTGGTCTACTCGACTGCCCTTATGGAGTACTTTATGGCGAACCGCGACTTTGCGACCGCCCAAGAGGACAAGATTCGCGCATTTTTTACCTCGACGCCGTCGACACCTGCAGAGCCATCCCTATCCGTGGCTGTGGGTGGTGCCGACAAGGCGTGCATCTTCAAGCCCATGAAACGACATGAGCGCCAGTTTTTGCACATGTTGGCCGAGAGCTTCAATCTGCGCAGCGAGAGCCGCGACGAGGAGCCGCACCGCTACGTGTTCTTGACCCGCCCTCGCACTGGGACGCCGGCCGTGCCAGACATCTCGCTGGCCGAGAGCGAGGAGATCTACCTGCGCCTTCGTGACAAGGCCGAGGCCGAGGAAGCGGAGCGTGAGGCTGGAGCGGCTCTGGCAGCGTCTCTCAAAGCCAAGGAGGCGGCACAGGAAGCGGCCCTGGACGACGCGTTCCGCCCCGCCGAGCGCAGGCGGCCCTACAACGCCATCTTTGTGCCCGCTGCCTTGGCTGCGGCAGTGACGGCCGAGAACAGCGACAAGAGCAGCAACAGCAACAACGCCGACATCGCCACCATCCTCGACAACGACGCCTTTCAGACAATTGTCGAAGCCTGGCACGAGCAGCAGCAGCAAGAGAGACGGTGGGCGCCCTCATCTGGTCTCGGCTCTTCGACGTCGCCCATGGTCGCGGCTGCACTCCACCAGCATACCGTCCAGCCCAGCGGTGATGTCATCCTGCGCGTGCTCATCCCGGCGGCGGCACCGGCCGTCGTGCAGCAGCTGCTCCTCTTTTTGCTCTCGTACATGAACGCCTGGTGGTCGCCCGACACCGGCAGCAGCAAGGAGAACCGGCTCGCCCTGTGCCATGTCGACGCCCAGTACAACATTCTTCGTCGAGGGACGAAGCAGACAGCGGCTGGCAGCAGCAACGCCAACACCATCTGGGACGACGACGACATCAACAACGACGACAACAGTGACGACCAGTGGAACATTGTCGCAGGGACCTCGTCTGCTAGTCGACAGGCCACCACGCCTGTGAACAATAGCGCCTCCGACACCTCCGGCCCAGAGCGGCTCCCGTCGACCAAGCGGGTGGTGTTCAAGCTGCGCCAGAAGCAAAAGACGGCGAGTATGATGACGACCGCGGCTGCGCAGGCAGAGCGCAAGCGGTGGTTGGCCATCTTGGCGCAACAAGCAACGGACGAGGAGAAGGCGGGCGAAACGGACAAGACGGACAAGACGGACAAGACGGCCGCGGATGAGGAACAGGAAACCGACGACGAGACGCAAAAGGTCGTATTGCCGCACGGTGACGAAACGAAAGAGCGCGAGGAGACGGAGGAGCTGCGCACTGCACTCGAGCGTGCACTTCTGGCGGGTGAATCAACATCTTCCTCATAGAAAAGAAGAAAACCCATGTGGCATGAAACCAGTGCCTTGATTACATAGCTCGGAGTATGCGTCGGGACGACATGGTTGTTATATTGGATTCCCATGGTTTGGTTTTATGAGATTTTATGTCAGAGATATGAAGAATTATCTAGCGGGCAAGTGCATGAAAGAACGAGAACTGGGACGAAGGACGATAGCCATGTGGCATATTATAATAATTCACTAAAATTATATTGACGGAAACAAGATGAGTAAATGAGTAAAATGACCTAATATGCCCTTGTTTATTGCCTAAGACGTTCAAACGTATCGAAATCCTTCTCTGCTTTCCAATAGAGATTCAAGATATTGCACGGTTCAAAAGGAAATGAAAGGCAGAGACAGAGAGGTAATATATCAAACAAGCCACACCATTACTACTTGGACACCTTTTTTCGGACGCAATAGCGATGAGGATGCAAAGGGTGGAAATCGCGCAAGAGTGGGATAAGAAAGAGTATATGGCCCTTTTCATATATACAAACACAAAAAGAGAGTATAGAACCAGAAATTAAGGGGAAAAATCAAACGGTAAAATGAAAATGACCACTTCAACACCTTGAATATGAAGAAACGACAAGAGCATCGTCAAAACACCAACCAGGTACAACAATAATAAAAAATTAGATGCGGGTAATACTTCGTCAAACATTCCAACAAAAGCAGGCTTCAACCAAAATATGCCCACCGAGGCGCTTCAGCCCCCTTTTCTTGCCTCTTCCCCTTGCACTTTGTGTCGGGTGTCATGACTGCGCACCCACGGCCAGTTCGTTGCTGCTCCATTAAAGGAACGTGTTGCTCTTCTTTCGGCCCAAGCTGAAGCTGAACCGCTCTTTGCGCACCGGCTTGTCGGCTTGGGCCAATTCAGGTAGTGGCGGCAACGATGTTGGCGACTGTGTCTGGGCCAGTGGCGCCGTCGGTGGAATTGCTGCGTTGGAAGAGGCCACGCTGCTGCCGTTGGTGGACCCATTGCTCAACGCCGTGGTCTGTTCACTGCTGAATGGCGACTCGGGGATGGTCGCCTTCTCCAGCTTTTCTTTGGCCAGGAAGTTGAAGCTCTTGCGCGACATGGACTTGCTACCGCGCCCACTGCGGCTTAGGAAGCCGGCCGCCTTGCCACCACCTGCCGCGTTGTCGATGCTGTTCTTGCGCGCGTCCTTCTCCTCGGCTGCCGTCTGCCTGCTCGCGGCAATCACCCTCCGCATTTCCTCGGCATCGGCCTTTCGCTGTGCCTCCCGCTCCTTTTCACGTTCTTTGCGCTGCCGCTCCAGCTCCTTCGCATTCTCCTTCTCCTGCACCTTTCGAGCTTTCTCGGCCGCCTTGGCTTCTCTCTTTTCGCGCTCCTTCTCCTCCTTGAGGCGAGCCGCCTCCAGCTTGGTATTCACGGCTGGTGCAGGCGGTACAACCGGAGCAATCGGTGTTGGTGCTGCTGGTGATGTAGTCGAATCGGAGATGCCCGCTGGCAAAGGCGGCACGTTAGGTGCACTCGAGATCGGCGTTAGAACGGCTCCGGGTGCGGTCCTTGCGTGCTCCAGGCCGATAAACTCTTCGCGCAAATCAGCGGGCGAGGCAACGGCCGGTTGCGTGACTTGACGAGATAGGGAGCCGGTGCCGTTCTGAATGCCGTTGGCCCGCAGCGCCTGTTCTTCGGGGGACAAAGCCAGGCCGGCGCTCATGTTGGCGAGCCGAATTTCCTCGAGACCCTCGAGCTCCTGCTCCGCCTGCATCTTCTCAAACGTTGTCTCCTGGTAGAAGAGCACATACGCGCACGCGGTGCCGGGCTTGTCGCCGAAGAAATTGCGCACATAGTGCTTGTCAACCGGCTCCACCATTTCGTCGTCGAACAAGATCCAGCCACGCTCTTTCGTCTTAATCACTGAGACGTAGTGTCCGTGGTACGCATTGCCGCCAATGTGTATCACAACCGCGTATAGTTCGTACAAGCGGTCTGGGTCTTGGGCTTCGTCGGTGGTGTTGAACATGCGCAGCTGGTAAGGGTAGACGACGCGATGGAACAGTTTCTCGAGCTTGGTGTAATCCTCCGAGTACTTGAAGCGCTTGAGGTGCAGGGCCAAAATCTTTGGCAGCCGCTTGATTTTCATGCGTTTCTCGGCCTCCTGAAGACCCCCACAATGGTCGCAGTGAAACTTGTTACGCTCGCACAACATCTCTTCGGCGGAAAATTTGCGCAGGCAGGACGTAACAGACGAATGCTCCTCCAGATCGATAGACAGATCAAGGAACGTCTCGTCACGCTGTGACGCGGACTCGCAGGTCAGGCACCTTGTCTCCGACGTCAAAACGCCCTCAAAGATGTCATGCACTCAGCCCGACCCCGGCGTGGAGGTGCCGTTTGTCAATGCACTAACAGACTGGCTGTCACCAAGTGCTGCCTGAACGGACTTCTTGAGGCCTTCCTTGTCCTCTTCCTGGCGCTGCAGGGCGGCCTCCTCAACGTTCTTGATGATGTCGTTCAGCATCAGGCCGTAGAATTCGTGTGCATCTTGGTGCATAGATGTGCGGAAAAGTTCGTTGTCTCTGCGGAACATATCGAGAAGGTGGATGGGACTAAGCACGCCGGTGCGGGAGTCGCTCTCGATCCAGGCCATAAAAATGTCCTTGACGCTCGTAAATGTGCTCTGCTCCATACCATATGCGCTCGCGTTGTCTGTCAGATCGAGCACGGGACCCTTGATCATCGCCTGCTTCTTCTTGTATTCTGGTGTATCCGGCTTGTCCTCGGGACGAGTGCCCTGCTGGCCATTCGGTTGCTGGCCTGGGTTGGCCGCTGGCCGTCCCTTGGCTGTTGGTTGCTGGGGCGTCTCCTTGGTGACAGCGGCAATGGCAGCGGCGGCGGCAGTCCCTGGCACGAGCGGCGATTTGGGCGGAGGATCGGAGGGCTTGCGAAAGTTGACGACAACCTTTCTTGGCTTGCCGTTCGGCGTGCCAGCCGGGGAGTATGGTGGGAATCGAACGACATTTTCGCGGAACGTGTCCGAGTGGTAGAGTGCTTGGAGGATAGAGTTGCAGTAACTGGACAAGTAAAGCAAGTGTCAGTGATTCATGGAGCGATACAGAGTCGGGTGGTCTAAAGAAGCGGGAGGGGACTGGAGTCTGAGAGTGTACCATGAATTTCCGAACTGCAAAGGCAATGTATGTTAGCTGTGCACTCTAGGGCGACGTTCCGTCTTTCACGCGAGGGGGAGTACCATACGTTCTCAAGTCCAAAAAACTTGTCTGTTCCATCATCGCGAATCGGGCCGGCATTCATCAACATCTTCTCGAGCGGAGTTTGCTCTGGCGGTGGCTCCTCCTTCTTCTTGTTCTGGGCTACGTTGTTGGTAGCATTTGCGGCGGCCTATACTCGACGGGAAGAAAACACAACCGTTAGTGGGTAGTTCTACATTGTTGGCGAGTGACAGGAACTGCCAAAAATTGACGAATTTGTCGCGCGCGGCGTAAAGGACGACGTCAAGGTTGGTTGGAGGGGACTCGGAGTGTTCAAGGTTCTCTGCGCGACTTACTGCGCTCGGCTTGAGCTTGCTCAAGAAGGTCGACATGGTGGGCGTGCAAGCCTATAGGGCTTGTGTAACGCACGACAAAAGTAGACGTCGAGGTAAACCCCAAAACAGGGAGCCAAAATGGTATGCGAAAAGGGAAAGGGAGCCAACGGGAGAGCTCGAGCAACGATTGGCACGAGACGTCGAACGTTTGAGTATTCGAGATTGGCGTAAGCTCATTCAGCCTCGCGGCAAATAGGCGTACTTCATTCACTGCACAGCTCGGCGGCGATAACGGCAGCGATGGCAATGGGTGCGATGTCCAAAGGCGGGTGCCAGTTGCAGCAGGGCATTCGACAAGTCGAGGCAACGGTTCGTGTGACAAAAGACTTTGTTTAAATTCGGTTTCGACGGTATCGCAGCGTGGATTGCTTTGTCCAGGGATCCTCTGTGTCTGCGGCCTGGGTCAGACAGCACAAGTCTGTTTGACTGTGCCTCTTTGTGGTGCGTGGCGTTGTGTTTTGTTGCAGGGGTAGCAGTCGCGCCGTGCGTCGAATCCTTGCCTGTACGATGCACGTCGTATCTTTGGAAAGTCTGTAGACTGGTTGTTTGACGGTGGATTGTTTCCTTCTTTCTTCGAATCTTCGTCCTTTGACTCTCCCTCCTTGGTTCGGCTGCTTGCTCGATTTCTCCGAACTGCCACAGGCTAACACTCAGGCCGTCTCGTCTATGTTGGAGGCTAGCGATTGGCGTTTGGACGAAAAAAAGTGAGAAGCAGCAGGCAGACAAAGGCAAAAGGATCGGGTCGTTTCCTTTTTATTTTGCTGGTTTGTCACTCGCGTTTTTATTTGACCTTTTTCAATTCGGGAAACCCGCCGAGAAGGAGGGAAACAGAACAGCGAAGAAGAGTAACAGGACAGAAGGGGGAATGCGCCGGACTCGGGGCCTTCTTGTCTGTTGGGGATTCGTGTGGTTTCGAAATTTTGTGCCGGCGTCTTTCGGTTTCTATCGCCTGGTTGCTGGCGCTGTTAGTCGAATCGGTGGTTTGGCGCTTCGTCTTTTGCCTGCGTATTCAGTGACAGTCTTGTGCTTCGTCGCTTGAACTTGTGAGTCGGGAAGATCAGTCGTTCAATGCCTTGCTCGTTTTCAGTCTTTTCGTCTAATGGGGTTGCCCTCTTAATACATTTCTTGGTGGCTCTGGGGTGAGCTATGGCGAAGACCGAAGAGGCAAAGTGCGGAGGAGACCTGGCCGTGGCGGAGGGACAGGGAACACGGTTCGTCGGTGCACCAGCACCCACTATTGCGACCAAGTGTGCGGAATCCGGTCTAGGTCGAAGACTTGGGGGAGGGGAAAGAACTGTGTACGTCGTATCCTCTGGAACTTTGCCAGGAAAATGGCGCGCCAGAAAATGAAAGGCAGCCAGCCAGTTGGCTAGGTCGGGTGCAGTAAAAACGAGTTGGGGATTTTTCGAGGTATGGACGCAGTAGAGAGAGCGTGTTCTTTGTTTTAGAAGGATCCTGGGGACGGAAACGCAGGGGAAGGCTGGATCGGCTAGTCCGTTGTGAGCCAAACACAAAGCACAAATGGACAAGTGCAGGCCAAAGTGTTGAGGATCAGAGATGACGAGTTCGTTGGATGGAAAACAAGCCAGAAGCCAGAAGCTTGAGATGCTGCAACGAAGGCGAGTGCGTATTTGGTAGTCTGACGTCGCCGAAATCGACAGAGACGGGAGAAGACACAAGGAGACAGAAGAAGCTTGGGCGGGCGTAAATGTGTGTCGTAAAGATTCGATAATCAGGGACTTGGACAAATAAAGGGAAAGATAAATAATAAAAACAAGAAAATCGGGAAACGGCCAAATCGCAGGCAGGGTCCAAAAATAAAGAAAATAAAACGAGGCAAAGGCCCCAGCGAATCGCGAAACGGGACGGAGTTCAAGGGTGCACAGCCGGGCGAGAGGGAAGCTGGGACGTCGAGGCTCGAGGCCCGGTGAAGCTGAGCTGTCCAGGTGTCAGTCAATAGGAAATGGCTGGGCGTCGTAAGGCGACGTCCGTGGGAAAGGCGGGATGGCTGGCGAGAGTCAGTTGTGGGCACGAGCGGGCGGCACGGTGGAAAGACGGTTCGAATTGCTGGTTTCAAATGGCCGATGCAAAGGGTAGCCGAGACGCAAAGCTGGGACGCACTGGTCAAGCGGTTTGGTGGGCAAGAGGACGAGGCATTGACACGCCGTCTTGACGGCGGCTTTAGCGGTGCAAGTCGATGCGATGTAAGATAATTACCTGGTGCTGTGCCGACCCAGAGCATCCAGCGACCACTAACAGCTCATGTGGCAACCACGGTCCACGCACTGGTGGTGAGCAACGACAGAGTGGGTTGGTGATGTCTTGGGTAAACGACGGGAGAAGAAGAATGAGAAAAGGGAGACAAAAGGCAGTCAAATTTACAAACAACAGAAAAATAAACAAGAAACAGGTGCCAAAACGAAGAGCACAGAGAGAAGGGAAGGAGCTTTGGACATGTAGAGAGGAAGGCGCACTCCAGCGCATAATAAGGTCGCTGTTGGCCTCCGGTCCAGGGCTTGGACGTTCTTGGCAGGAGAGAACGAGAGGCCAAGGAATCAGAACACAGGAAGGAGCTCAGTTTGGGTAGGCTCTGGGTTGCGGTTTCTCCGTTCGTGGACTACAGGACATGCCACAGCCGTTGAGAAACGGACGGCGCCAGGTCAACAGCAGTCTTGTCTTTGATTGCAAGATGACGATATACAAGCTTCGCAGTGCTTCATGCATCTTTGTCGGCCACTGCAACGATACTACGACGAACGGAGACTCGGACAGCGCCGCCAAGAAACAAGTTGGGGTGAGATGGAATACATTTTTTGCCTCTCGCCAAAGTCAGTCGTTCCTGCCCATCCTAGCCATTCTCGTGTCTTGCGTCAGGCGGGTCATGGATCGGGAAGGAGGGGGGACTGCGGGCGACTTTCTGGGTTCGATTCTATGCTCATTGCTCGTTCGAGCAGGCGCGGACGGCGGAGACCAGAGCATCGTCCGCACAGTTCGCTGGCATCCTGTTTGTTGCTCCACGAAACGCCTTTTGTCGTGGGCAAACAGCAAGGGGCAGGTAAAGAAAGCAATGTTCGATGTCCGCTTCTGGCTTCGTTCCCTCCTCGTCCCCCCTCCCCCGTTGCAGCGCTAATTTTGGTGTGCAGGTGCTGGGAGCCATGGGATTGGACCAGCAGGTTTTTACCCCATCAGCAAGGGTTGTGTCGCTCCCTCCACTGTCTGTGCCCCGTCTATTTTAGCAATAGGTGCAAAAACAATGGGGTGCCAAAGACCGGTGCAGGGGACCTGTAATTCCGACGAAAGGCGGAGGAAAAGCGGCCCCAAGTGGCAGAAGAGGGGGTGGACCAGGAGGCGACATGTGCCTACTGACAAAAGGAGCACAACACACGACTTTGGCGCTAGGCGGGAAAGGAACTCAGGACTTACGACGGAGTATCAAAGTCAGATACATCCCGAGAAGTCACAGTAGACAACCAACAGACAAGCATGTTCAACCGGCAAAACTGGCAGAGACAACCACACCAGAAGTTGGCATGAGTCTTTCAAGGAGGTTGGCTGCCATGTTGCTGCAGGGACAATCGCAATGTTCATATCAAGAGTATCCAACGCTGCGTTAGTAGTTGAGCTCGAGTTGGCTGGGGGGGTGGACGGCCATGCAGGGTAGCAAGAGCGTCGGATGGCGGGTACGGATTATGCGTTGCAAGGCCCAAGAACGGACAAGGCTTGATCGAGGGCCACAAATCCCCCAAAACAGGGTGGCAACGGGGAGGGTTCCTCTGTTGGTTTTCACAGGCAAAATAGAGAGGGGGGGGCCACAGAACAGGCAACGATCAAAACGAATTGGAGATGTGGCAAGTCGGCGGTGGACGGATCGATATCGTGATTTGTCGAGCTGGCAATACTCCGTATCCTGCCTGCCCTGAGCCCTGAGCATGCTTGGAAATCAGCCCTTTCTTCGAGTGCGTGGAGAAGAGAAGGTCCCACGTCGTAAACGAAACGGCGGACCGTGTGGAAGAACCGCAAAGCTGGGAGATGACGAGGCCAGACGAACGGACAGCGTCGTCCAGGAATAGCGCCTGCCCTTTAGCTGACATGACAGCGTGGGCCCCTGGCTATCAGGACTCACTCTCCTCCAACTTACCACGTGAGAAGTGGCAGGCAAAGAGGGCCCTAAATGCCCCATTCTCTTGCCTTTTGGCGGCAGGAGTTCCACGCTGATGCAACAGCGCCAAACACTTTAGGCAGGTCCCCGAGGCAGCTAAAGGCGCATTTTTCCAATGGAAGGTACTTGGACAATTGTGGGTGAGATGGTGGGTGAGCCCGAACCGCCAGTAGATACCTACCGTAAGTTACCAAAGGGAAAGAGCAACGAAGAGGACTGGGAAGGAACTGCCCGGCGTAGCGCGCCGATGTCCAGCGTCGCAAGGAGCACCGCCCGCCAAATATGTGCAACGCAATGCCCAAAAGTACGACCACACAAAGCAAATGGGTTTGGCCAATACGCCAATGCACGATGCCCCGGGCTGGTCACACGCCTGTTTTTGTCCTCTTTCTCGTCCCATCTTCTTTGGACTCGGTCTCTCTCTTTGGACGCAACCCAACACCACGGAAAGCACAAAGTAGGCAAGAACGACGGCCAGAAGTGGGGTCACATAACCGACACCGACCGTCTGTCAGGCCTTATTTTGACACTGATTTGCAAAACGTCAACCCTTGGAAAGGACCGGGTAGAGACAAGTTCACGGGAAGCGCAGTAGAATGAGGGGGCGCGTGCTAACGTCAAGTGTGCTTTGGTGCTATTCGTGCGACTCGTCAGAACTTGTTAGGCTTGCCAGGGGGAAGGGCGGCTGCTTTTCTTGTTTCTTTGTTGATTTTACAATTTTTTTTAACTCTATATTTTATTGCTTTATTTGGCACCATCCCCAACCACGTTTTTGACGGCCATGGTTCGCCAGGTGGGCGGGGAAGGGCTAGCACGGTTGCGCTACTTTTAGGCAATTGCAGGGTCCAGAAATGGCGAAGCAGAGGAAGAACGAGGTAGAGGCTGTCTCAAACAAACTGTGGGAGGAACGAACGACCTCAAAAATGCCACGCGGAAAGCGGCAAGTGCTGTGGTGTGACGAACCACAGGGACGGACGGCCTATGGCCCTGCTGGGAAAGTGAGCGACACAGTGTGTTGTGTTCGATGGGACACGCCAGGGCAAATGCACGATCGTAACTTGCAAAAGCAAGCCAAAATCAGCCAAAATCAGCCAAACCAACACCCGTGAGACACTCTCTTACTTAGCCTTGTCTCCAGTCTGCACAAGTTCACCACCGTGCCCCTCTATACGAGCGGCGACGCACAGGGCTTAGTTGCCACCTCTTTTGAAGGGCGCTGACAAAATGCCACAGGTAGGGCTGGATATTGCATGTATCTTACGTCGTACGATGTGCTACGAGCGATCCGGTTTGCTCTCCAAGAAATCGGGGTAGAGCCGTTTTGAACCGAGAAAGCGCCGCATGACAGAACACGTCGTAGGAGGGGAAGAGAGGGGAGCGGTCGGGGACAAAGAGAATGAGCTGGGGTGAGAGCAGACAAGAAGAGAGACGGGTGAAACGCTGCTGGCATAGCAAATTACCCAGACGAGAGACTCGTGTTGGCTGTTGGCTGTTGGCACACGATCGGATGCATCAGAGTCAGTGTGTTGTCGAAAGCCGTTAGACTGGCTGACTGTCTGCATGGCTGTGCTCTCGTTGGTTTGGGATAACGGAGGTCTTGCGGGATCGGGAACGGCAAATGAGGCGCACTTCCCTGTTCCTTTCCCATGTTGGCTGCCTTTCCGGCCTTGCTCTTCTGTCCATCTCGTGCATCCAATGTGGTGCCGTTCGTGATGCAGTTCGACTGAAATGTGTCCGAGGACAAGCACGTCGACGTTGAAACCCACTGAATGCCATTGTAAAACCCTAAGCATGCCAAACGTCCTAGGGTGTCTGCTGGTGCATGCAACCCAAGGGACTTCAACGTACCTTTGTAGAGAGAATGGAGTCCTAAGAGCCACCAAAAACGACCGACCGCGCAGAAGCGATTCTGACTTGCATGTTAGCCATGGGAAGATCGGAGGACTTTGGGAGCAGCACCGCCTAAACAAGCACACAAAATAGCAAAGCCACCGTGATGTATTTGCGGAGTGGCGTGGACTGGCGGGACTTTTGGTGTTCTGGATGTAGCATATGTCCGGTATGTGCCAGCTTGTAAGGTGAGAAAAGGTAAAGGCCAGCCTCCGCGGAGTTTTAGTTGTGCCATGGCATGTATACAATGTGATTTCATGGAAATACGAACTGATACTCCATTCCTTGTCTCCACCGCTCTCCCTTTTGCGGACACATTCGATCTCTCCAGCCCGCTGCGTGTTTTGATGCGGAGGAGGGCAGGGCCACCAGACAAATACTCGCTCGAGCCGAGATAGCGGAGAGGTGATGTCAAAGTGATTTCACTGATTATATTGTTTTTGTTCATATCGTCGACAACAGAAAGTGCGCAAGAAACAAAAACGAAAATAGAAGAGAAAGGAAAAAACAGAGACGAGGAAGGAACAATCAACGTGACAGACATATTAGACAATCTGATGAAATTCGAACGTTCCAGAAAGGCCACCGATACTACAGTAGCTCCAACATCGGCATCGGAATCAAGATCGAATCGACATCGAGTCGACATTGGCACTCGACGACCATTCCGAACGGCTCCCGCTACCTCCCTACTTCTTCTGCTCCGGCGGCGGCGCACCGCCCGTCGTCGGCAAGCCCATGAAGATCTTGAAGTAGTCGTAGATCATCCACTGCAGACCCGTCAGCGTGCCGATCATGATGATGCGCACGCCCAGGCCGTTCCACAGGCCGCCAAAGCCAATGTCGCCGTAAATGCGCGACACCACGGCGCCAAAGGCCTCGCCCGGCTTGCGGTACGCATTGAGCTTGCTGACCATGACGTCGGCCGGGTGCGAGACAATGGCGCACAGAATGCCGGCCAGGTAGCCGCCCGTAAACGACACGCCCGTCTGCGCGGCCTTGCCGTAGTCGCTCTTGGCGCCGGGCAGGCGCGCGTAAATCATGTCGACAATGGTCTCAAAGGACGCAAACTTCATCATGGTGTAGGGGATCTGCCGCGCCCACAGCGGGTACAGGCCCTTGTAGAGGCCGCCGAGGCCCTCGGCCGCCATGATCTTGCTGATGCCGTCAAACGTGCCGCGGTACGGGGACTGCAGGCTGCCCTGCATGCGCACCTTGACCGCCTCAAAGGGGCACAGGGCAATGTCGGCCAAGAACTCGGCCGACGCCGACGCCGCCAGGTAGACGCTCGTCTTGTAGGTGTGGGCGCGCTCGGGCCCGACAATGTCCGAGTACGTCTTCTTGAAGTACTCGTACCAGCCGTACTTGAACGCGCCCTGCGCCGAGTAGCCAAACAGCGTGGGGCTCCAGCCCGTAAAGATGCCGCGCAGCCCCTCGGCCCGGTAGATCAGGCCCCAGCCCTGCACGTTGCTCTTGTACAGGCTGGAATCGACCTGGCGACGCACCTTGACGAGGTCAAGCGGCGTGACCGCCGTGTGCGTCAGACCACACGCCAGCATGCCGCCAAATGTGCACGCAGCGTAGTAGCTGCCCGAGTACAGCTCGATGCCGGGCGCCTTGGCCGGGGGCGTGATCCTGGACACGGCGCTGGAGGCCGCTGCGGTGCCCTTTTCAAATTCCTTCTGGGCTTCGGCACTGAGCTTCTGCGCCTTGCCCTTGGCGTCATCGACGACGGAGTACGCGACACAGAGTTCCGGGCGGAACGGGGGCGGCAGGCCACGCGTGCCTGCGGGGCCGCTGCCGGTGGTGTTGAAGCCCCTCTTCAGGGTATCGGGTCGCGGGAAGAAGAACGACGACGCCATGGTGAGCGATGTATAGGAAAGAGGGGAGACGGCAAGAGTCTGGGCGAAGGCACGGGATTAGCGTTGGTAAGAAAGTGCGGCATCGCGATATCTGACGATGCCAACGAATCAAGGAACAGCGTCCAGAGTCACGAATCACGAGCCAATCTACAAAGAGGATACTCACGGGGGTGTGTAGAGAATCAGGGCGGCAAAAAACAACGATGCAAAGCTGTTGTTGGCGATGCGAATCGGAATGGCAGTGACAAGAAAAGGGAGGACCAGATCACACAAACGAGAAATCGAAGCCAATCCAATCGAGATCGTTTGCCGAACGTGCTATTGACTAAGAAAAAATTACGGAGGCCCAGCGCAGGGAATGGGCGATACAAACTGGTAGGCCCGGTTGGTTGCTCCTTCCCTCCTTTGTTTCAGTAACACCCCCTCCTTTGCGAAGCTCTCTGGCTCTGTTCCGGAAAGAACGAGCGGACGCAACTGTGCACCTTGCGGGCAGGAGCTACCCGGAGCACCAGCAACATCGAATTACCTGATCTGGACAGCAAAGCGGCGTATAAAGTACAAATGTGGAATCGCCAGTGCTTGGCCGTGCAAAAAGACACAATGTCAAAGGATCGGGGTGTTGGCTGAGTGCTATCCCCGAGGCATGTGTGTTGTGTGCGCAATTTCCATGATGTCAGCCGGGCCAACAGCTGCTATGCTTCGGTGCAGGTACCGGACAACCTCATATTGCTTTGGACACCACGGCGCGCTGCCTCAAGAAAACCAACTGCAACGACATGCTTGTGATTGCGCCGAAGAAGCCCTTCCAAACGAATGGCGACATGGCCGAACTTTTCCAGCTTTCTGGTCAATTTGCATGTCGGTCCACGGTCGCACAGCACTCACACGAGCTGCACACGAACAACCAAGTGACGTAATGAATTAGAGAAGGAGCTAGGAGATCACCTCGCCTTTTTCTCCATGATGTGTCCTTGGGGCCATGCGAAGAGAACACAAGGCTGGCACTCGCAGCTTGATAAAGACCAACGAAAACTTCGAGAAGCATGCCTGCCGTTCTTTCCCCCGATGCCATGCTGAGGTCTACAACAGCAAAGGTAAGAGCGATCGATCAGAGCGGCCCCGCGTGCCGACGTCTTCCGTGTGTCTCCACCCAAGAACGGAGCCAACGCGGTTTCGCAAGTCACGTGCACAGGTATCCACATTGCATCTACGCCAAGCAAGGAGCATCCAGCTGCTGATGTGCTCGAGCGGAGCGAACGCGAGAACAAGAGAGAAAAATGAAAAGCATTTGCAAGCAAGCAAGAGAAACCGAACATTGTAGAAATCAATTGCGTGCTACCCCGACGTGGGGGTTTGTGAGCATGCTGGCCAAGATCTCACTTGTCAAGGAAGAGCACGTGACCTGCAAAAGAGGCTAGTGACGATGGAGTCAGACTGACAAAACGACGAGGGGAGAAGCCAAGAAGATGCAGTCGCCCATTCCCTCCGAAACGCTGCGTCGTGCCCAATACAACTCATCACCAGTCCCCAACGGAGCAGATCGGACAGCAGGCCAGACGAATTCACCACCATTGTCGAATCCTACCTAACTTTGACCGCCTACAACAACACGCCCCGCACTTTCTCTCGTCTCCCCACGATGGCCGACGTTGCCGCTCCGGCCGGCACCGCGAGTGCCGGCGCTACCGAGCCGTTTGTCTCCAAGTGGACTGACCGCTACCGGGGGGTGAGTCCTTGCTGCGAAGTTCGGTCTTGCATTCTTGCACAATACGAGCGCCCTTTTTTTTGCTAACCCACGTTCCCAAGGCCACCGTCGAGGACCTCGAGCCGCCGGCCGCCCTCTCCCTCACCCCCTCCGACACGGTCGGCCAGGCCATCAATGCCGCCTTCGAGCGCGACTTTACCCACCTCACCGTCGTCGACGGCACCACGCGGGCGCTGCTCGGATACGTCTCGATGCCGCAGCTGCAGCGCCTGCTGGCGGCGGGCCAGGTCGCGCCCGACGACAAGCTGGGCAGCAGCGCGGCGATGACGCGCTTCGGCTTCCGGCGGCAGGGCCGTGCGTACCGGGTGATTACGATGCAGACACCGCTCGAGCAGCTAGAGGCCTTCTTTGCCGGCGCCATGACGCGGGGCGAGGCGCAGCAGTTTGCCGTGATCACGGACGAGCGGCGGCGATTTGTGCTGGGCGTGGCGACGGCCGCGGACTTGGAAGAGTTTGTGAAGCGGCGGCCGGCGTAGAATGGGAGGCCGTGTGGACGGAATGGGTCGTCATTGTTGTTGTTGTTTTGCTACGGTGTTCGTCCTCTCAACAGCATATGGGCGTTTGGGGTTACATGGTTTCACAACAAAGAAGGCAAAAAAGATGGTACCTGGGCGTCATGCGACGGACACGATTCAACACGATTAGACGCAGTTCAATTTTCTTGCTACATGCCATTTCATACCGTCATAAAAGTCCCCTTGTATTATGTCTTCGTATCGTTACGCATAGTACGTCATATGTAGCTTACTCTAAAAAGGAAAAGCAAACATCCGACTGCGAGGTACAGGAGCAGCCTCGCGAAGACCTGAATGGTATGGAGTGGCCCAACATGCGAGAAAGATCGACAGCAGAGAAGACGGAAAATCATGTCGATTGGGAAAACAACAGGCACCTTCTCGTGGTCCCTTGTCCCAAACTCGTTTTCACACAACCGTGATCCTGATCCTACCTTAGTAGGTCAGGTCGCCATCGTCGGCCTTGGCGTCGTCCAGCTCACCAAGGAAGTCGTAGATCAGCTGGACGGTCACGCGCTGCTGGCTGCTGCCCTCGCCCTTGGTGACGACGATGTTGCGCACGTACCGGCGCGTGCCGTCCTTGGCCGTCTGGAAACCCCACACCTGCGTCGCCTCCCAGCCGCCGGCTTTGTCCAGGTTCTTGACGTAGCTCACCAGCAGGTCCTCGCCATCCTCCGGCCAGCCTGCGCACACGCACACACGTTAGTATTGAAAACACGACTTTTTGTCACGGGGACGGGCGTAACGCACCCTCGGCCAGGAACGCATCGGGAAAGTCCTTGGCAAGAGCGACAGCAGCACCGGGGCCCTTGTAGAAGAGCGTGCGGCCGACAACGTGGCCGAACAGCCAGTCGGAGTGCTCGCGGCGGCGGTTGTCGACGCAGCGGCGCTCGGTGGTGCCCTTGATGCCGCCGGTCATGGTCTGGTCAATGTTGATGTGGGTGACGTTCTCGGTCTTGGCGGACCCCTCAATGGGATCCTCGCTGGGCTCGGACGGTGGCGCCTGGATCTGGGAGACGTGCAGGGTAATGGTGCCGGCGCTGATGGCCTTGCGCACGAGGAAGCCGATGCCCTGGAGGCTGAGGACGGCGCCAAAGTCACCGGACAGGGACTTGTTCTGGGAGGGGTGTTAGTCGCCGCCCAGCAATGAAACAGGAAATAGCACGGTTTCCCGTTCGGCCTTGGAGCTCCGTGCTGCTACCTACCATCTGCCATTTTCCGTTCAGGTTGTGGATGGTCTTGCTCGCGGGGGCGGCCATGGTGACAGTGGTGTGCGGCGTTGGTGAGGCACGAGGTAGAGGTGAAGTACGATGTGGGAGAGAATGCGGGGAAAGCAAGGGGTTGACTTGGGGATGCTGGTCGGATGGAAATGGGAAAGAAGGAGAGGGAAGAGAAAAGGGCAGCCTGTCCGATGGAGCGGTTGCCGCAATATTAAATACAGAGTCGACTATTCTGGGGAAGGAGAGACTGTCCTGGGGACGAACAAGGAGGGGAGGAGCTAACGAGCAAAAGTGGACATTAGGGCCGGTCGTTTCCCCAAGCAAAACGTACAAAAATACAAGGCAAGCAGGCAAGGAAGGACTATCATCAAAAGAGAAGCCGAGGGGGAAACTCACACCAGCGTCACTTTCTGTTGACCTTTTTGGGCGAGACAAGGGTCTACTGGGTCTACTTTTTTTTTCTCGTTTTCTCGCATGTGGTTACGGACCACTTTTTCACACTCACACACTGCGACGGCTGGCGAGCAAAACAAGCCGTGGTTCTTGCCCGCTTTCCGCTAACCAAAAAGCCACTTTCACATGTTTTGACGTTTGTCCCTCGCTCTTTCCTCCACCGTACCCCATCCTCGTAATACCGCCAGCCCCACCCGCGTCCCAAATCTCTACCAGAGCGCATGCCTTTTCTGTGCGCGCCTGCACACGCACCTTCCATGTCGTCAGGCGGCCGAGCGATGATGAGAAATAACCAAACTACGTCGTAGGCCTCCTTCCTGTTACGATTATCAAAGGGCAACACACCTTCCCCTGTTCCGTCGTAGCACTCGCATGGTGCCACTCCCGGTTCCGAGCCGTTCTGCCGTCGCTTCCCCTGCAGCCATTGCATGTGTCCTGCCCGGTTCGTTGACCTCACAGCGGTGGTCACACAGTCATGCACTGCGCCCAACAGAGGCCAGAGGCCAACACGGGCCACGAAACTTGAGCCTCACCTTGCCCCAGGTTTGGCCTTTCCCCCTCCCCACTGCCTACCCCTCATTTTCACACGTTCGGCCCCGTGCACGTACACTTGTGGAAAATCACTAAAGAACGGGCTCGTTGGGCAAATGCGAATCAGATCGCTATCATGTCATCTCGACGCTAAGCAAGGGCGGCGGGCTTTCGCTAAAAGTACCATTGGTCAAGGTGTGGCGCTGGCCGCCGGCCGTCGGTCATTGTCCCTTTTGGGCCTCTCCAAGAAGGCCCCGTGGGGGTTGTTTCTCGGGCCACAGCAACCAGAGTAGCTTGACGTACCAAAAGAGTATTGTAACGTAGAAAGGTATGACTGAGTCATGACGTATGAAGTCGGTTCGGCAAGGGTACGAGGTACCAAGCGGAACAGCTGGTTAGGGAAGAAGCTCAGCTGTTGGGCAACTAATTAGATGTAACCAAATGCATATTTTTCATGTGCAAGTTAAGTTTGCGTGTTGTGTATATGTGTATGTCTTGGTCTGAGCATGCCGTTGGTGTGGAAGTACCGGCCCGTGTGTGGAGGATATCAACAATATGATTATAGATTTTTAAGACCGGGTGGACCGGGTGAAACCAAAATGTGCATGAGCAAAAAGAACTCAACGAAAAAGAATAAAAAGAATAAAAAAGAATAAAAACGGCCAACCCGGACGAAGAAAGAAAATAGAGCCCGGATATCGTAATGGTACACCGCTCCGGTATGCAACCGCAAGCTTCCAGAGGAGAATAGAAACAATGGAAAGAGAAATAAATCAGAATGGCCAGAATATTACAACAAGGTAAGATGTGCTGAGTAGGTAGTCACGGGTAGTCACGAGAGAGGCGAGGCAGGGCGGGCGGTGGGGAGCACACCGGCCGCTCGTCACGTACGGGTCGGTCCATGCTGTGCGGTTCGTGCTATGGCCACCAGTTCATCTTCTTGTAGCTCTCAATCACCTCGGCCACCAGCTCCGCCGTGATTTCGGGTTTGTTGTACTGGAAGCCGACAACACGCTCCAGCCGGCTGCCGTTCATGCTGAGGTCTGTGTCCTTGAGTAGCTCCTTCTCCATGAATGGCGTGAGCGGGCCAGGGCGCGTGATTCCGGCTGCCGCCAGCAGGTTGGCCCACGGCCCCAGCAGCTCGTCGTTGACGTCCTCGACGACACTGTCCATGTTCAGGCGCGCAAAGGTGCTAATGAGCTGGCCCTGGAAGCCGGTCTTGATGCCAAACGTCTCGGCAATGATGCCAGCCATGGTGCCCTGCGTGGTGGCGCCCTTGTCGACAACGTTGAACACGGGCACGGCGGTGCCCATGGCCTTGGCATCCCACTCCTCGCGGCCGCCGCGCTTGGCGTACCAGTGCGTGGTCTCCCAGAGCGCGCGGGTGACGTCGTCAATGTGGACGGTGTTGGTGCGCAGGTCCTTGGTCCACAGCCACTTCATCTCCTCGTCGAGGTCCTTGTAGACGCGGGCCATGCTCAGTGCGGTGGCGACCCACTGCGAGGCGTACGGGCCGTACACGTGTGCGAGGCGGATGATGACAAGGTTGAGTCTGCATGGTCAGCAGGTGGTACATTTTGCACCGGGTGCAAGACGAGAGAGAAGCAAAAACGAGAACCAGAGAGGGAAACAGAGAGGGAAACAGAGAGAAACATACCCCTCAATCTTGGCCAGCTGCTCCTCGGCCTGCAGCTTGAAAACGGCAATGCGGCTCCACGGCTTGAGCTTGTCGGACTCCTCGCTCGCCTTGGAATCGGGCTTGTAGACCATGCCCGTGCTGAGCTCGACAAACGCCTTGACGCCCCGCTTGGCGGCCTCTTGGCCGACAGCGAGCGACAGCCCTAATGACCGCAGGCGGTACACCTCGTCGTCCTGTGAATAGCGCGTCTCGCCGCCGCAGTTAAAGACGTAGTCCCACTGCGAGCCGTCGGCACGGTCGAATATCCGTGCCAGTGATTCTACATGGAACGTCAATACAGTGACATGGCGCCAGTGACGTGAGATGCTGACATTTTGCAAGGAATGCTGTGGACTTACGCTCTCTGCTTGCATCGGCCTGCATGAAATTGGAGCCGGAGCACGCCTCTTTAAACTCGGGGGCCAGCCATGCCAGCTGCGGGAGAACTTTGTCGACAAGGCGGATCTCCGAGGCCAGCTCGTTGTCGTGGATGTAGCGAGCGAGGAAGCGGCCAATGTAGCCGAGGCCACCGATGATGAGGACGGAGGGCTTGTCCGTCATGGTTGTGGAGTGGTGTATTGGCGGAATTGGCGGGCGGTACAGCGTCGTCGAGTCGCTTCTGTTCTGGTCTTGCGTCCTGGTTCAGACTGCAAAGAACCGTCTTCGTCCTGTGTCGCCTAGTTCCTTGGACTTGTATCTCGCGAGATAAATGAGCCCAGCGAAAGTACCCCGAATCGTATCGACCGCCAACCAATTGCCGGTCCCTCCGCGTCGTATCGTTCCCGGGAGCTTGCTCTTTAGTTCTCCAGTCGCCCAGATGTGACTTCTATGTCGTTGGCGTCGTTTCGTGCTCTGCGCCGCTTGCTGATTTGCGGATTGGCCCAGACAGCGCCGGCAGTCAACGCGGGGAAGGTCGAAGTAAGGGGCAGCGAGGAGTGCCAGGTTGCGTATTTAGCTACCAGCAAGTTGTCTCGAGCAGGTGGCAAGCTGATGGTAAGTCGATGTCAGTTCGTTTTGGCGGTCGTATGTGAATGAAATTCGTGAGAAAGGGACCCCTTATTTTAGACGGGATTGTTGGAAAATGTTGGCGTTCCTGTCGGTTGTGGGATCAGGGTCAGGGGAGGCGGGAGAGTGCCAGGAGATATATCTCTCGTCCTATAGCTGTTTAGTCGAGCGGGTTTCCGTAAGGCAGAGGGAACGAAGAGCGCGAGGTGCTAGACGAGCCGAGTTAGCTTGTTTGATTTAGGAGGGGGCGGGCGGTTCGCGGGCGGGCAGCGGGCACTTTGGCTTAGGTCGAGCGTGGAACGTATGGTTAATTAAGGTGGCCGAAGCCGAATGGAAAAAAGGACAATGGAAGATGTAGGAGGCGGACAAAAGATCACCAGGCGAACGACGTACTTTGTAAGAAAAGGGGGGCGCGAGAACTTGTGAAAATTGCGGAAAAGAAAAGAAGGGAAGAGAAGAGAAGAAGAAAAAAAAAAAAAAAAAAAAAAAAAAAACAAGAAAGGAGAAACGAGGTAAAGAAGGGAAACGGAAGGAGCCAAGGAAGAACAGAGACGAAAGCGACAGACGGACGCAGAAATGGAAAGAGCGTCGGGACCTACCAACAAAAGCAATTGCGGTTTGGGGTTTGAAATGCAGGAGCGAAAGACAGAGGAAAAGAGGCAAGAGAAAGAGACAAGAGAAATAGACAAAAGAAATAGTCAAAAGAAATAGACACGGCTCACCACGAGGCAAATGAAGCAAAAATGCACCGTCAGAATAAAATAAGAAATATCAAGTAAAGTCGTAAAGGCTTGCTGCGGTACAGAACGGCTAGGATTGGACAGGGGCCATGCAGCAGAGACAAAAATGCAGGTCGGCTTCCCAGGTGGAGGGTATGTCCTGCAGAAAAAGCAAGGTATGTGGAGCGAGACAAAACCAGCAGACTCTGTGTCTGGCTGCAGGTTTCAATGCTGGGGAATATGAGAAAGGAGTGGCCGGGGGTTGACAGCAGGACTTGTACAAGCAGGACGGTGCTGGTGCGGCCAGAGGTGAGAGAAAGGGGATAAGGCGGGTGGAAGCCACGGACGGCCTAAAGACGGAGGGGGAGGTGAGGCACGAGGTGAAGGCAGGAGGCAAACACGACAGGGGAGAGGAGGTCGCTGGGCATCAGGGCATGAGACGCTCGAGGGCTAAAATGGGAACAAGATACGGGGCAATATGTATTCTGTAGTCGGGGGGAAACGACTGAATGCCGAATGTCTTTCCCTTTCCAAACGGCTCCCAAACGGCGACATGCCTTTTTCCTCTTGGTCTGAGAGCGCCATGGCAGTGGAATCAGGACAGGCGTTGACGGTCGTGGGCCTGGCCGAAGTCGCCGCCGTTGCCGCTGCAGACCAGGCCTGTTTGGTTACTTTTGTATGTGGGGACGCTTCTTTATGCAAATCTTACTGTGGTACGAAGTACTTTCCGCTCTGTTTGGCTTGACCAGGAGCAAGGACGAGATGGAGGGGAGGACACTGTCTGGGTTTCAAGCGCCCGTGTCAGGTCGATGACAGCATCTTCCGAAGATCCAGAACAAACACGGACATTAAGGTGTAATGCAATTACGTCGTATGTGTCGGGGCATTTGCAACGGTGAATCGTTGTTTTGATATATGCGTACGACGCATGGAGAAATAGAAATACGACGTACGATGCCTCGGGAGTCGGCTCACAATCGGCTCCTGCCCATATTGATATTGTCTAGAAGAAGGCGGGCTGCTCCATGCGCTTCGAAGTTCTGCATTGCACCTTCCTTTTAATGTTTACGTCGGGCTTCTACTTCCTTCTCCGTACTCGGCATGAACCTTGTATTCACCCACCGCTCTTTCTGTTCTCACCACAGCGCCGTACCTTCCTTGCCGCCATCCCAGCCAGGCCGTCGTCCTCCAATTCCCAACTGCGTCCCTTCGGGCGTGATCGAGCGAGACTAGCGGCTTTGTAACAGATGACGGATGACGAACAGGCGACGACAGGGGAACAAAGACGGGGCTATTCAATGCTTCTCCACGAGCTAGAAGAGTGGAAGAAGTAATTATATCGACGAGAAAGGAGAGCTAACGGCGTGTGCGAAAACGGTCGATATGGTAGTGGAAGGCGAGGAAGGCGCGAAGCAACGAGATATTGATTTAGGAAGGCAGGCGATGTGTGAGAACACAAACACGCCTCCGACAGGAAAGTACGCCGTATCACACCGTAGTACACTGCAGTACAACATACTGCTGTCGTGTTTCCCTTTCTGTGCAAACTCCCATCGTGCTTGCCCTCTCTGGCAGCGTGCATATGCATGTGTGCCTTCCCTCTGCGTGCCGGCCCCTTGCAGCATCGCGGCTGCCAACATGAACAGGTGGAGTTGGATGACTCTGTATGCTGTGTAAGTTGACCGTCCGCGTATCAACGACACTTGTTTGCCTCCACCTGACCTCTCCGCGTCCTTTGCAACCAACGTCTCTTCACATCGTGCCTGTCTCGCATTCTTTGTCTCCGAAATTGTCTCCTATTTGATGGTGCCTCATGGGAAAGTGACAGTAGAACTAAGACCTTGGTGTCGCTCACACACCATCTCATAGCCCAGCAATATTTTCTTTTTCTTTTACTTTTTTTCTCTTTACTTCCTGCGAGTTGCGTTGACGTCCAAGCGGTTGCGGTTATGTCCTCCTACGTAGCTCATTCTGTGGCTCTCCGACCTTCTTTGCCCGCTGACTCTTCTTGTCTCTGCGTCTCTCACTCCGAGTGTATTCGTTTCTGTTTCGTTTACATCTCCTTGCTTTTGTTGCTTCACGTCCACCTCGTCTCTCGCATCTGTCAAGAAAGGTATCCACCAAACGGCGCTGGCTCTCCGCTTTGCTGCCCGCCATCATGCCGACGGTACTCCGAACGTCGCCCCTTTCCTGTCCCTCACATATGTACTGTGTACATGTAAAGAAACCAGAAACTTCCTGCGTCTTTACCCACACCACCTCCACTCTGTCTTTAATTGCCTCTGGGCCTTCTAGAATACTTCCCTGCATCCCACTGCAACATCCCAGGCCAACACCAGTTATACCGCAGCATGCGTCCCGTTGATGATAGGGCGCCAAACGAGACACAACATGCCGCCTCATCCCGTCTTCCTGTGCCATTCCCAGAACGGAACGAGGCGAAAAGCAGAAGAAAGATTGCCGTGGCGGGCTCACAAAATGAAAATGAGACTGCAGGCGGAAGAATCGCCGACAGAGTAAAGTTGAGGACAAAAAAAAAAAAAAAAAAAAAAAAAAAAAAAAAAAAAACCAAATACTTGCTCTAAACCAGCTCATCCGTCTGAGGTGGCACACTATTGAGCAGTAAGGCACGCATCCCTCCAATGTATTACTCGTTTCAACGCTTCTAGAAGAGTCTGTTCTCGCTTCTGTCCCCTTGCACGTTTCAGAGTGTCATGTTTCTTTATTGATATTGCGCAGCTGTACGGAGTATTTATTTTATTTGTCTTCATTTGTCGTCTTTTGCCACCCGTTTGATTACTCGTCTGCGTGGAAAAGGGGCTGGGCGTCAACGAACCCGACGACGCAAAGACAAGACCCAGAAAACTTTCCATTCTGCAGCGGCAGGACGCGCACCGCGTGCATGCGAGCACGGCGCAGGGGCCTCCACGCCAGCACTAGCCTACGAAGCGAAAATAACAGTGTGTGGGTGCATGTAAGATATGGAGTACATCTTTCTTGTCTTCTTGTCTTCTTGTCTTCTTGTCAGACACGTGTTAAATGCTTGTCAAGCAAGCTCTTCAACAGAAATGACGTAAAAAATATCAAATACATAAAACATAAAAAAGACAGATCGTGATATCGCTTGTAGTCCCGGTGTTGGCGGAGATTTGTTTGGTGGGTCTAGCCAAGGCGTTGTGAGCCGTGGGCTTCGTGATACCACGCAGTGCAGTTTGATTTCAATAACCAGCCGTCGACCCATGCGCCCCCAATGCAACGATACGTGACAAAAAAGGAAACTTGCGGCGCATCATACCAGCTAGAAGCCGAGATATTGGGGGCGACAACGTGGAAAACGTGGAAACCGTGGCGATGGCAACCAGGGTGTGAGTACATAGTGCTCTTCCTATACATTCGTACTCCGTCGTCGTACATCGCATGGATATCTCGTGTGGGTGTTTGCCGCCTCGTCACGTTGTGGCACCCTCGCTGTCATATTGTCATACGTCTCTCCCATAAAAACACGTCGGGTCTCGCCGAGAGGCTACGGTATCCGTCCTTTTGTGATCTTGTCTTGTGGATGCATTTTCTCTTCTCCTCCCGCCTTCTTGATGGCGTCTCCGGTGTCCTTTGGCCTACATCGACTACCGGTCTTGTCATGTCCTGACATGATGGCCATGGCTCTTTGTTGTACGCCGTGTCTCGTTTCGACCAGTCTCTGACAAGGATGGGGTGCACGAGGTACATCCGATGGCAGTGCAGAAGGGCGAAAGAGCCGCCTTGTGGCCTCTCTTGCGCGCGCATTCTGGCGATTCGATAACTCAAAGGAGACAAGACCAGGCGGCCCCGGGAATGAAA